CTTTAGGTGTGAATAGGCACCAGAAGGGAGACAACTGTAGTTGGGAATAAACACCAGAAAGTGGGAAACCTGTAGGTGCAAATAAGTACCAGAAGCGGGGACACTTGTAGGTGGGAATAGGCACCAGAAGGGGGGACACCTGTAGTTGGGAATAGGCACCAGGGAATAGGCATTTTATTGTTACTTTTGTATAATTTATCTTGTATAGGGAGTTTCTTATTGGTGTTCAAAATTTTAAGTTGCTGAACTCATGTAAGGTGACCTTGAGTGATCTTGATTATATTAATCTCCATTATGAACTGGTTTTTTAATCTCTGGGAAGACTCTACTAAAGGGTGTCTTATCCTTGTCCTCATTCTTTTTTAAGTTGTTTGGGCCTGAGGTCAGAGATCTGTGTCAGTCTCTGCAATTCAGAGCACTTGTGTGATTGATACTCAAGCCCATTTTCCAGAAATCTGAGAGACGGCCCACGACTGCAGGTAGCATAGTGTGTATTCTGCACTACTTACTAAGATACTTAGAGCTGTGAAACATCATGTTGGATTAATGTGTGAAAAAGATCCAAAAAGCCTGACAACAATCAAGTGAAAAGTCTTGCTCATCCCCAGGGGGCTGGATTGAGTTCTGAGGCCAGTAGCTCTGGTTTTCCCATTACTGCCTAGCTCTGACAGTCTATGTACAGCTGTAGATCAGGCCTTGGCTTGCTGCATTTCCTGTGAGGAACAGGGAGTCTAAGTGATATCTACAATCTTAGCATTCCCACAACTAAAAACTCCCTAAAGGATCTTTATTACAGTATGTTGCTATGGTGTTCCACACGAGTACTTATGATGCACACAGGCAATACTGAGTGAGTGGTAGTGAAATTAGGGGACCAGTAGTATGACGACAACAAGCAATTATGAAGCTGCAAACGACAGAACCAAATTCAAACACATAGAGTGTATGAGCACCATACAACAGATACGGAACCCTGCCGGTTCCCTACCAAATCCTGAACCACCTCTCTACCTCCCTTCTCCATATTTTAACTCTCCTTCCATTTAAACCTCAGGTCCTGAAAGGTTCCCTATTATACTTTTCCATTTTTCCCCTTTCCTTTAGTGTGTTATATAGCTTTATGTGCAAGTAAACGGTCTGCAAAGTCTTAAGGCTCAAAGTGCACAACAAAGGGAGTAACTCTCACCATAGAAACCACTCTTCTCTAATCTGCCTGAAACGGCTCTTTGGAATTCCAGCACTTACTTCCCTGACATGGTGAGGTCACCTCGTAACATGATCCCTATTGACTGGCTTCCTACCCTCAAGGATATGTCTGCTGACTGCAAGATAGGGGTGAAACGGACCGTTTCAGACAGAGTTACAGGCAGAGTGAATTTTGTTAAATTGTATCTGTTCAAATAGACCCCAAAAATAAAATTCGGAGCAGGGAAAATGAGCATGATGGGACCCCTTTAAATGGACATGAACTTTTCCAATGACACTGTAGTACTGAAAAGGTGAGAGTGCCCCCAGTTTCCTGCGATGGCATGTTACACCATCTGACCACCTCCCTTGGTGGTCTTATAGGTAGGTGTTTCAGACTTGTGTGGTGTCACATTCTGCTGGCTCACAATACCCAGTATGTGTGAGTTTGATAACTGGTCAAGGGTCAGTTTGGAACAGCTTTCCCTCTGCTCCAGATGTTTCCTGCTGTGACTCTGACCGCGCTGCCCCCTGCTCCATCCGCCTTGCTCCACCCCATCCCCTCACTTCCTCCAGTACACATTAAATCCTTGTCTCTTGGTCCCATTCTTCCTCGATCATTTGTAGATACACTCGGCCAGCTCCTCAGGAAGCTTGCTTAGCAAATACAGGGCTGTGTTTTTCATCTGCTAAGTTGTAGGTGACTACTGTGAAAGCCCCCCCCCCCCCTCACCCAATGCATCTTCTCTTAGAATCTCAATACAGCAGAAGATAAGTGTGAAATTTTATGCATAGCTGTATGTGCTCGGAGTGGAAAGCTGACTCTTAATGAGCCAACAGCAGTTTTGGTAGAGTGAAGCTCTGAAGCTCTGAAGCTCTTGGTCTGCTCTCCTCAGGCGACAGGTACATCGTGGCAGACTGCGGCGGGGGGACAGTGGACCTGACTGTGCATCAGATAGAACAGCCTCAGGGGACCCTGAAGGAGCTCTACAAGGCCTCAGGTGAGCACAGAGGCAGCCCACGGGGCTCTGCACAGGTAGGGCGGACCAGAGAGCCCACGGGGCTCTGCACAGGTAGGGCGGACCAGAGAGCCCACGGGGCTCTGCACAGGTAGGGCAGAGCTAAGAGAAGAATTTATGCACTGCTGCAAGTGGCTGCCCTTTGTTGGCAAGCTTGCGCCCACCTATATATGTGTCTGTGTCATGGAGAGCAAGATGGGGAAAGAGAGGGATCAATAAACTGACATTATTATTATTCTTTCCCTACTCACATTCGAGTAACATTTGTGAAACTCTGAGACATTGCAAAAGACTGCTATATAAAATAACCAGTGTTGTGGAAGCTACTTTTAAACAGGAGCTTTTCAAGCTACAAGCTATTTATGATTAAAAGTGGCTAAGCTACAGCAAAGCTACTGTTTTAGTATAGTAGTTAGTTACACTACAAGCTACAGAGAAAAAGTAGCTAACGACATCGGAGCTATTTCATCTGGTAATACTTCACATTTATGCTGTAGGATACTCTTAACCCTTTCAGGCTCAAATTAAGTTTTAGTAACGACAGGACAACGAAATCCTGCAGTGGTACTTCTGAGTAAAAAAAACTCATAAAATATGTATGTGGGGTAATAAGGTAGTTAGTTTTTAACTGTTGCAAATCAGCAACGCCTGCCTTGAGAGGGTTAAAGCAAATTAATTCAAAAAATGTGAAACATGATGTTAAAAGTAATATGAAAATCTATATATTATACTATCTTTAAGTCAAATTGTTTGGTGTTTTTTTTAACATTTTTATCACCATTTTCTTACTTCATTATTGTTACACAAACTGATAGAAATGTGTACTGTACTGTGAGCACTGCGAACAGTAGCCTGAGCAGTGATGCTCGCACTGCCGGTTGTCGGGGCTGAAGCTATTTGTGGTCTCTGAATGGTCGTAAAATCGATCAGTAGTAATTAAATTGCATGGGTTGTAAGTCGACGATGACCTGCAATATTTTTTAACAATGAACCGTTTTGCCACGCTACATTGCTATTTGTAAAAGAAATAGTTACTGGAAAAGCTACAGCGCTACTAATAATCTACTGAAACAAGTAGTTAAGTTAGTAGTGTCGCTAATTGTAGTTAGCTACTCCCCAACACTGAAAATGACAAACCATGTTTCTCCACATTGAACTGCACACATCATCCCAGGTGGTCCATATGGAGCCGTCGGTGTAGACATGGCCTTCGAGGCCATGCTGTGCCAGATCTTCGGAGCCGACTTCATCGAGAGCTTCAAGGCCAAGAGGCCGGCCGCCTGGGTGGACCTCACCATCGCCTTCGAGGCCCGCAAGAGGACTGCATCCCCCGGCCGGGCCACCGCCCTCAACATCACTTTGCCCTTCTCCTTCATCGACTTCTACAAGAGACACCGAGGCCACAGTGTGGAGACCGCCCTTCGCAAGAGCAAGTGAGCTCTTTGATGGTTCTTTTTATTTAATGTTTTTTGGAGTTATAGTAAAGCCCATCAGATGTGTATGTCTTTGTTCCCTCTCTCAGGATAAGTATGAAATATTTGCATGCCTACATCAGAGCTTTCCAAACCCTCTCATGCAGATCTACCACCCTGCAGAGTTTGGTGCAGCCCAAATGTAACATACCTGATACAGATAATCAGTAACATCTCACTATGAAAGCCAGCTATGGTACTGAATGGCCTGATAATCTGTATCAGGTATGCTACTCAGGGCTGCACCTAAGCTCTGCAGGGTGGTAGATCTCCAGCAGCTGGGTTGGGCAGCCCTGGCCAACACAGACTATGCTTTATTTATCTCTGGTGAGGAGCAGATCTAAGCTCCTGGGAGTTTTATTTACACAAAAATGTTGTGAGGCCACAATGAAAAATGATTGGTTCAGAGAGATAACCAATCAGATCTTGGTCAGATGTCAGACCAACTAATCAGATTTCATGGACCCTCCTCCACTACAATCTGGTTGGTTATCTCTCTGAACCAATAATTTTTCGTTCTGCCCTCAGAACATTTTTGCATAAGTAAAACTCCCAGGAGCCGGATCAAAGTAAATAGTAAGTACATAGCTCTCCTCGCTGCCACCCCACAAAAAAACAACTTCAGTTAATGTTTACATGGCTTAAGAATGTGAAGTGAATTTAAAATACTTTTAGAAGTATTTATTTCTAGATTAGGTGCTTGTATTGCAAACATTGTTTTAATGATCTTACCAAACATTTCAGTGGATCATTTCCTTTTTGCTTAATGCCACCCCCATAAATATACTTGGTCCCTGATGGCCACTCCAGTTGACATTTCCTGCCCCTTCCTATGTTATCCACAGTGAACGATATTCAGGGGAAGCAGGTGTGTGTGTAGTACTTCACTGCTTCCTCCCATCTCTGTCCAGTGTGAGCACTGAAAAGTAGTGCGTGTGCTTTATTACTCAAGAATCGAGATTTTTATTAGTCCCATGCATGAATGTCCTGCTACACCAGCAGTGAGATGAAATTGCTGCTACTCCAGACTGTGCAGCCAACAAGGTAGAAGGATAACCAAATTATATAACGCAAGTTAAAATAAGTATTGAAAATATGGAAACATAAAAGTAAAGATAAAAGTTATATGAAAATATGAGAAAATATTTAAAGTGCAGGTTGCAGTTATAGCTTCTTTTAGTTTTTCATTGGTGGTGTTAATGACCCTAATGGCCTGGGGGTAGAACCTCCTCCTCAGCCTCTCAGTCCCAGCTATAAAGCTCCTGGGCCGCCTGCCTGAGTACAGCCACTGGGACAGTGTATGGCAGGGGTGGTGAGTATCCCTGATAATGCTTAATGCCCTGGCCCTGCGTCGCTCGATGTAGACGTCCTGCAGGGTGGGCAGTTTTCTGCTGGTGATTTTCTCGGAGCCCTTGCAGGGCTCTGCGGGCCTCGGGGCTGAAAGCACGGATCCCACAGTAGTGCTGTAGAAGGCTGTTTGCAGCACAAAGGTTTTGAATTGCCTCAGCTGTCGCCTCTTAAAGCAACTCATTTTTGCTCCCATTTTTAGCAAACCTACCGAGTCTGTGTTGTGTTTGTGTCCCTTTTAGTGACCGCACTGAAACGGAAGGCCATCAGCGTACTGTACGTACCTGTGTGCAGAGCTGGTCTAACTCGGGCTTCTCTTCCAGCATGAACATCGTGAAGTGGTCCTCCCAGGGCATGCTGAGGCTCACTCCTGAGGCCATGAAGGAGCTGTTCCAGCCCACCATTAACAACATCGTCAGGCATATAGGTCAGGCTCACCCACGCCTTGTTTCTAACTCTGGCCCTCGGCGTTTCCCCCCCTTCCTTCACCTTTAATAACCCTCCGTTTACAGTCTTCTTTCCCTTTTCTTCCAGAGGACTGTATTTCAGTTTTCTTTACGTAATACCAAGATATTGTTTTATTATGTCCGGCGTCAGAGACATTGCTGTATCCTGGAATAATTTTGGACCTGTATTGGAGTTTGTGTCTAGCTTCATAATGTCTGGATATAACTAGGGTTACCACCTAATATGGGAGCTACTATTTTCAGTTTGAAAATAGTTTACAAACTATTTTCAAACTGAAAGGCTCCCGTGCTCGGGCTACAGAGTTCAGGTCTTCTTGTGCTTTGACTGGTTTGTTTCCTTGATTGAAAGACTCATCCAGCTGTTTCACATTAATATTAGTGACACATGCATGATTACACAAGACTGAGCAATCAGCACAAGGCAAGAATGCAGTGCTTAAGTGAAATCCAAGTCATTTCGATTGAAATGGTCGTTTTCCAATCCTGTGCTAGCTCAAAGTGTCCTTCTTGACATTGATTAGGTGGTAACGGTCAGTGATACCCCTTTCTCACACAGAGGACATGATGAAGAAACCGGAAGTGCAAGGTGTGCGTTTCCTGTTCCTGGTGGGTGGCTTTGCGGAGTCACCCATGCTGCAGCAGGCGGTGCAGGCGGTTCTGGGCCGCAGCTGTCGCATCATCATCCCGCAGGATGTAGGCCTGACGATCCTGAAAGGTGCTGTGCTGTTCGGCCTGGACCCCACGGTGGTGCGCGTGCGCCGCTGCCCAGTTACCTACGGCGTGGGCGTGCTGAACCGCTTCGTGCCGGGCCGGCACCCACGGGACAAGCTTCTGGTGAAGGACGGCCGAGAGTGGTGCACGGACGTGCTGGACCGCTTTGTGTCCGTGGACCAGTCGGTGGCGCTGGGCGAGGTGGTCCGGCGCAGCTACACGCCGGCTCGCTCGGGCCAGCGCAAGATCATCATCAACATCTACTGCAGCACCACGGACGACGTGGTCTACATCACCGACCCGAGCGTGCGCAAATGCGGGGCCATCACTCTGGATCTGCCCGAGGCCAGCGGACCCGAGCGCCGGGAGATCAGGGCCACCATGCAGTTCGGCGACACTGAGATCAAGGTGACCGCCATAGACGTGGCCACCAACTGCTCTGTCCGTGCCAATATAGACTTCTTGTCCAACTGATTGCCTGGCAAGCAAACGGGACAAGATGAAGACTCAGACTCCTACTCAGCTACGATTATGGGGGCATCCCCCTTTTCTATCTCTAGCTCCATCTCCTGGACAGCCTCTGCTCCTTCAGCTTCTACATCCACTCAGCGACAATATGGAAAGCCCAAGTGAGCTTTCTGAAGTCCTTTGATATTCCCTGGAATATCTGCAGAGAAGTCACTCTTTCATATGATAAATGACTTTGGTCACTCCCAGTCGCTGGATGCCTCATTTTTTTCATTACCAAATGAAAGACAGCATACTCAGTACTACCTTTATCTGACTTTAACCATTTCTTACTAAGTGGACTGAGGTGAGGTCTTTGAATCCCTTGAGTAATTACAGCAGCACCACCTACTGGCAGGAAGACTTTACAACCAAGCCATTTCTACAGGACTCTGTCACACTGTTTATGTCTATCACTGTACAGTCCAGACAGCCCATAAAACATACACATATATTTTGTATTACCATGCATGTGGAACACATAATCTGAAATATTTATGAACAGCAGAGTACACTGCAACATTATTTATGGTTTTAATTATGTATTTTTTTAAGTACTAAATCTGTAACTCCAGCCACAAGAGTGAACTGAAACACAGCTTTGTCACGTGTCACTTCTCGTTTACATGGATGCATCTATGACTGGAATGTGGAGTTCCCTAAGCAACCCCAAAGCCTGTCTGCATTTATGTTCCCCTGCCATATAGTCTTCATTCATTCCTCCAAGACCACATCATTCCAGAACCTACCTAATCTGATTACATACTCATTAAATTGTAGACTATATTGTACAAGCATGTAACCCTAATCCTACTTCTTGTATGCATGTTTCCTGCTTTCAAAGCCATATAAAAGCTGCAACCCTGAGGTTCCTCCTCCCATCTGTACGTCACCAATACGGCATTGGGGCGTTTGAGCAGCAATTGTCAAGACTAGCGCTCAAATGAAGGGTTCTGTACATACGAGCTGTACAGGATTTTGGACCTGGACTGGAGTTTGTGTCTAGCTTCCTAATGTCTGGGTATTACTAGGGTTACCAAAAGCACCAGAATGTTCTTAGAAATGAGTGCAGCAAGTGGCACAGCAAGGACATTAATGACCTGTATGGCCACCAAACATCAAAACAATGTGAAACCCCAGGAGTTATCAAACCTGCTGTGGTATAAAAACTCAAAAACTCTTTTTTAAAATGTGTTGTGAGCAGCTTCTGGTGCAGATTTGGGCCAAGTTCAGGACCAGTTAAGCTGAATCATTTTCTTTTTCCCTGACTGAGTGGGCGGAGGTATTACATTCTGATGGTATTATACTACATACAAATGAGGCATGAAGTACTCAAGTGTCCAAAGGTATAAAGATTAAGCTTCACTTCTGAAAAGGGTCTCCTCCTGAGACCCAGGCCCAAACCAAATTCAAATCCCACTGAACAGACACCAGACATGTTTAACAAATATGTTTAATAGCCCAATAAATAGGTCCACTGAGTGACTTACATGGTAATGGGCACGGCTTGGCAAGCTGTCCTGCCTCAGTGCTATTTCAGTAAAGAGGGCAGTATGACTCATAGCTTATTTCAGGGCTAATTATCATAACGCCTCAACCCACACAGCAGAGCTGTTTAACACCCAGCACTGTAACTAGGAAAGAATAAACAGCTAGTTTATTGTCAGCTAGTTAGATCTCTACTCAGCACTGGGTGCGCGCCTGTTGGTTCCTGGAATGTTGCTGTGGTCAGTGGGCGTGTGGTCTGCCGCGGCCTCGCCCCCGTCCCGCGGGCGGGCCGTCCACGGTGGAGCGGGGGTTCTTGATGGTCTGGTCTACAGACAGGATGAGACAGGTGGCCTCGGAGGCGGCGGTCAAGGCGTTGATGCGCACCGCCGCCGGCTCCCACACGCATGCCTGGAAGTTGTCGGCGATGTCCTCGTTGTTCACATCCACGCCGTACCACATGCCACCCTGTAGGGGGCGAAAGTCACGCGTAAAGCCATTGGCATGGAAACAGAACCTGTCCCACTGACAGCTTCAACCTGTATGACCTATGCACCAGATAAGGGGATTTAAAATGCATAAATGCATTCCAACACTCATCTAGATCGAATAACACTAGTTACTGTAAACAGGTTTCATAGGTGACTATATTAAACGACTACAAGCTCAATGTAAGTATGACAGTGGCCATGTTTGTGTTTGCAGTACAAGTTATTTGCCTGCAGCTTGTTAAGGATGCTGGTCTGTATTGCGGTGTGTGTGGGAGGCAGACCTGGGCATGCTTGGCCCTCAGCTTGTTAAGGATGTTGGTTGCGTCAAAGCCAGCGTTGTCACACAGCTGGCGGGGGATGACCTCCAGCGCCTTGGCGTAGGAGCTGATCAGCAGCTGCTGCTTGCCCGGGATGGTGCGGGAGTAGTCCCTCAGGTAACGAGACAGCTCCATCTCGATGGCGCCGCCTCCCGCCACTATGGAGTCATTCTAGCAGCAGAGGAGATTGTCACACACCCACAAAAACACAACTAGACGAACCGCACACTGCACTGGCACCTCACTGCTATGAGGGATTTGATCCTTGAGTCCTTACTTTCAAACAGCTTATATAACTTGTTTAATAGCTATATTTATATTTCCTTCCTTTACCAGTGAGCCCAGTGTGAAGCCTCTGTGGCCAATGAGAATCGGTAATTATTAAACTAACTACCTGGGAGAACTGAAAACAAGGCCTGGATTTGGAATAAAGGGCCAGATTTGAGGAGCGCTGATTTATACAAAGGGTTTATTATCTTAATTATCGGCAGTCATGTCACAAATTCATAAAACGCCCCTAGAGTCATATGGGAAGAAGCCACCCGCTGACCTTGATGGCCCTGCGCACAATCATGATGGCGTCATGCAGAGAGCGGTCCGTCTCCTCCATGAACTGCTCGGCACCGCCTCGCAGAATGATGGTGCACGTCTTGGCCTTAGGGCAGCCCTTGAAGAAGTTGTACCTGCCCGGGGGGGGGGGCACATGGGACGATTAATCATCTTAGTCAATGACCACAAGCAAGACAATCACTGTGGCTGTCAAATCATTAGTTGCAGCAAATGTGACATCTGGACCCGAAAGGATCAGCCCTTAATGCCCAATCAGTCTATGAGGCCCGATCAGTATGCAGATGTACTCAGGTTAGTCTTTATAGCTAAACAGAACAAAACAAAGCCTTTCACTGGAGTCCAAAGGTACAGAAAGAAATTACCTCTCCCCTCCAATCTGCACCTCCTCAAAGAGACCACACTGCCCCAGTACGTCGTCACTCATAGAGCCGACACTGGTCTGGATGGAACCTCCGCAGGCCTGGAGGACACATTGCATGCATATAAGTAGACGGTACAATTTGCACAGATTCAAAGAGATACATTTGCACAGCATGTAAAGGCCATATCAAATAACAAAAAAAAAAAAAAAACGCAACACAAGTAGTTATTCCACAGGAAAAGGGCAGAATCAGGCAGCACTTCCAATAAAATGCCAGTTTTGAAACACTAGGGCAAGCGGTTCCCAAAGCAGAGGTTGCAAGATGATTTACAGAATAGGTCAATCAAAATTTACAAACATGAACAAATTCCAATGGAGCTGATTGTGATAAATCTACTGAGAGGCCCCCGAATTCTACCAAGGAGGTTCTGCAGAATAGGGGTCCTGGCTGACAAGCTTGGGAAGCTACGCATTAGGGGATCTTAACTGCATGTATCATGCTCACGTGCTTGATCTTTGGAGACGTGCTAATCATAACAAAAGCTAGCTTGTCGATTATCTCCTAACAATGGCACAAAGCTAACATTTAATACTCGTAGCTGACTTTGAATGCAGAAGAAATGGGCAGAGATAACGATTTGAGTGACTTTGACAAGGCCCACATCATTACGGCCAGACAACCGCGTCCAAACAAATTTCCTGGGTAAATAAAAAAAAAAAGCTTCCAATCCCTGGTCTATTACTGCATATTCTGTCTAACACTGTACTGAGTAACAGGTCACTGATGTACATGCAGATCCCTGCCCCATACCCTCTGCCCGAGCGGACCTTTCTGTCCATTCGACAAGCGTCAATCGCAGCAGTGATGCTTCCCAAATTCCTAAATCGCCATATTGCTCATCCGTCTCGCTGCTAATCGAGCAAAGGTTAGAGAGCATCCAGGATGGAGGCGGAGCCTGTGTGCCTGCTCCCAGTCGCCCCCAGATCCCACCCCTCGCCCCCGTTTAGTGCCTCTGGGCAGTATGAGACAGCGGGCCGCGTTCTTTGTCAGTCAGCCTCCCTTTAGCACATTCCCAGCATTTTGTTTGCAGTCTGTATACAGATATCAGGATAACAAACCTCACAAATATACCAAATATATCAGGCAGAGTGGGATTAGACACGGTGCATGAGCACCGTAAAAGTGACATGTTTCAGTGCAAATACTGACCCAGACCTACCTGCAAGCATGTAAACAGGAAGATTTGTGTCACATAACATCAGTTTCCTCTATGTTCCTCTATGTTCTTACCATCATGGTTCTCTTGAGGTCCTCCTCCGGTACTCTCCCAGCACAGAAGAGGTCCCTGTCGGCAAAGTACTGTGTGGCAACGTCGCCGATGGGCAGCTTGGACAGCACCACCTTGGCCCCAGACTTGTAGATCTTCTCCAGCTTGTCGTACAGGATGTTCCACTCTGCATCCACGATGGCTTGGTAGTCCTGGAGGCAGAAAGGTTATGAGAGAACGGGTCAAGACTGGATGGGGAACAGAAAAAGTCTGAAGCTAATATTACACAAAATAGTCACCAAGAATACAAACTAATTTTGCAGGGAAAAAAATGTTTTTCCAAATTTTTCCACTAACATGCCAGATCCTGATATTAATTCCAGTGTATTTAAATAACAAATGAAAGGTCAAAGAGCATCTCAGAACGCCGTGTTCAAAAACGCACCTCCACACACTTGACCCTCACTTCAGCGTTGTCCTTCTCCGCCTTCAGCTCCAGCTCCACATTCAGCAGGGCGATCTTCGGATTCTCATACTTCTTGGGCTGCATCTCGAAGCCGGCGTAGGAGAAGGTCTTCTTGAAGGCGACGCCTGCCACCAGCTGAGAGTCCTGATCGGGAAGGAAAGTGGGCGAGTGAGTGGCGCGGGTACGGGCGGGAAAAGGGGGGGGCGGCACCACAGGTCTGTATACATGTATATATACATACATGCAAAAGCATAACATACACTTCATTCATGTTTCATGTAACGCCAACATAGTAGAAAAAACACTGCAATATCATGCTGAGATCCAGGGAGCCAATTGTGATGTCATCTTACAGCCTAAATATCCTCTGTAAGGAAGAACGGGGCTTAACAGAGTGCCATGCACAGCACAAGAGAGATGAGCATAAAATCTCCTCTACAGGAGCATATTGAAATATGATTTCTCACCCCAACCATATGTACACACAGACAGCCTTTCACATTCAGAAGCTATATGACCTGACTTAAGTAAAAGACACGCTGATCATGTTTAGGGCTGCAACAACTAATTAATAACGTTGATAATAAATGATTTCACTTATTGATGTCATTGACTAGTTGCATATTTGTAATATTCATTTTTTTAGGTTCGGTATGCACAATGAAATGAAAGTATACATTTATTGACACAGACAGAACCTAAATTCACAAGTAGAAGTTTAACACAGAAAATATTATGCTAATTGTGGCTGTGAGTTGGTCACAGCTAATGCTAGTTAGTCATATTTGCTGACTATAATCATAATTGTCAGGCTTGGAATATTTTGGTTTCCCAATAGATTACACCCACACCAGAGAAGCTGACACATCCAAGACTGCCGGTTCCATTATACTGAACTTGCATTCATTG